GGTCGACGCCCACGGCCAGCCCCACGTCCATCCTGTACTTCTGGATGTGGTAGCACTGGCACATGAGGCCGATGGTGAAGATGCAGTCCACGTGGGACCGCTGCGTGTGGTACGACTCGTCGCCGAGCCCGAGGAGCTCCAGGCCACTGCCGATGGCGTCGGCACCCCCAGCGCCCGCGGCCATCTCCCGCAAGGTCGGGCAGCGCACGTAGTGCTCCAGCGCGTCCTCCCCGTCGCAGCCGAAGATGCACTGGCGAGCGTCGATGACGGCGCTCATGCGCCGCGAGGTGGTCCAGCCGTTGACCGCCGTGCGCAGCCACGACCACATCCAGGCTGGGCGGACCTCCGTCAGCTTGCAGCGCAGCGGAGGCCATCTCTCACGCAGGACGGCCAGCGGACAGTCGATCCCCCACCTGCGGAGGCGGCGGTGGATGATGGCGACGAGGTCCTCAGGGTACAGCATGCCGCGAAGCGCAGCCGCGGCCGCGGCTTGGCGCTTGGGCTTCCTGGCAGGTGTGGCAGCAGCCGCGATCTTCGCCTCCATGAGCATCGCCGTCTTCGCCTTCAAGATGCACCTGCGCGGGATCGGGATCGGGGGCGAGTCCAGCGTCGGCCTTGGGATGTCGAGCATGTCGAAGGAGTCCGAGACCATGGCGTAGTTCTGCACAATCGCCCTTCTCGTGCGCCACCACGGCGGTGACCAATTGCCCTTGATCACGTCGGCCAGTGGAACGTGTTCCACTGCAGCTTCATGTAGGTGGCGGAGGTGCACCTCCCAGCCCCTCACCGTGTTCTCCGCTGAACGCATCATCGCGGCGATCGTGTACGGGAAGAGGCCAATCGGCGCCGGCGAGCCACACCACGCGCTCATCGAGAGGATGTCCGCCTTGCGCATGGAAGACGGTGGCAGTCGCAGCAGGCGGTGCAAAGAGGTGAACTCGACCTTCCAGATGGCGGGCACGATGAAGTAGAACTGAGCCAGGTACGAGAGGCACGGCAGCGCGTTGATGTTGTATGCGCGGGCAGCCAGGCTGGTGGCCATGCCCGTGCGCGCCAGCTCCCAGCAGCGGGACCACCACTTCCCCGCCGCCGCCCTCCAGATGCCAAAGTCCGTTACGCCAGGGCCCAGGTATGTCCCGAGGTACTTGGCCGATGAGTCGATGCGGAAGCCACTCCAGCGTGGGACCGCCCCCGCAAGGAATGACTTGACGTTTTGCAGTGTGTTGTCCGTGATCTCCTCCCACAGCGGGACCAGCACGCACTTGTGGAGCGCCAGCTGCAGATTGAAGGCGAACTCGATGGAGACGAAGGTGCGGTCGATGCTCGGGAGGGCGACTGCGTTCTTGATCAGCATCCCGAGGTCGTCCGCGCAGGCTGCGAGAGATCCGTGCTCGTCGATCGCTGCTAGCAGAGCGCGGATGGGAGCATCCATGGCCAGACACCATACCGTGCCAGAGAGCGGGCATCCTTGCATGATGCCGCACATGAGCGCAAACAGTGGCTCCAGCTCCGCGCTGGTGCCCTCGGCTCGGAAGGAGCTGAAAGCGAGGCAGTTGCTGTAGAGCGCCATGATCACGTTGCGAAAGCCCAGCGGAACCCCGTAGCGCGGGAGGACCTTCTCGATGACTTCCCTGAAGAGCGATGGGAAGGCCTGGCGGAAGTCGAACGAAAGGAACATGGGGCGACGGGCCGCAGCATCAGGAAGGAGTCCTTCCCTGCGGCATTCTGCGTCCAGGAAGGGGATGTGGTCGACGAAGCGCCGCCCCGCAGTGAAGCCCTTCTGCTCGGGTGAGGTAGATGATGTAGCAATCGGCTGCAGCCCTCGATCCGCGCATGCCGCGATCAGCTTGGCGTCACAGTTCTTGAGGGAGAGAGTGCGCACGGTGGATGCCGTGCGAGTGCATGAATCAGGGACGTCGTCCTCCTCCGTGCCCTTGGGGACGCAGATGAAGATCGACCAGTTGAGGTCAAGTGGTGCGACTCCGTCGTTGAAGATGGTCTCCATGAGCCCGTGGAGATGCTGCAGCGCACCAGGGCTGCGTCGCCATGCAGCGTACGTGAGTTGGTCAGGTCCCGCAGCGCTCGGAGGTGCTCTGCTGACCGCTCGTTCGAGGTTGTGGAGGGCAGGTTGGGGGGGTTCCACCACTGGGTACCGCGGTGCGTGCTTGTCCAAGAAAGAGCCCATGGTCTTGAGCTGCTCATCGTTCGGCAACTTCGCGAAGATCTCACCCCAGTAGTTCGCCACAATCGTCTCCATGCCCGCGGGGTCGGAGACCACATGCTGAGCCACCTGCGAGTCCTTGGCGGAACACGGTGTAGAGTCCACGCGCAGGCCAGAGAGGATCATGCGACGCCGCCAGGGGACCCACAGCTGAGCGTGTCTGGCGGCCTTACGTTCAACTCTCCGCCAGGCTGCGCTGTCGCGCACGTTGGCTGTCCGAGCTGCGGCCTCCGCCGCTTGTCTTCTCATAGAGCGCACCCGCTCAGCAATTGCGTCGAAGTCGGAAGCAAAGCTGTTGGTGTCCACAATGCGCACGGTGCCGTCGGTGACTTTGAGGTGGGTCGCCAGCGCGGGGCAGGAGTCGAGAAGCCTGCCCGCCAGGACGGCGTCCTGTCGCCAGACGGCTCTCGCCGCCGATTTGAGGCCCATGTACGAGGTCTCGGCCGTGGAGTCCTTGACGAGGAGGGAGAAGTTGGTTCTCAGCTGTTCATCCCGCACACGTCGAGCGGCTAGCTTCATGCACTGCTCAGCTGCTCTCCAGCGCCCTTCCGCCGTTTCCCCCTCCAAGGAACAGTGCGCCAGCATGAGCGCGTAGGTCTCGGGGTACTTCTTGTGGTTGAAGAGGTGCGTCGGGATAGGCTGCTCGTCTCTCGGGACGTGTCGAGCAGCAGTGATCTGCAAGACGAGGGGCGCGTGGTCGCTGATGCCAGCCTCGGAGAGCTCCATCGCATCCCTCGCGGTGGTCAGGATTGTAGAGACCGACAGCATGGCATGCGCGTCAATCCCCACGAAGATGCGGTCGATCGTGGACAGCTGCTTGCAGGACTTGTCGTAGTGAGTCGGCCATTGTGATTCAATCTCCAAAGCGGCCGCGAAGAGGCGCCGCCACGCAGGTTGACGTAGTTGGCAACGATTGTCAGGTCGTAAGCGCCACGCCGTAGCGTCAGAGGGAGCGCGTTGGCTAACTGGCGGGCGAGAGGCAATGTTGAAGTCCCCGACGGCCAGAAAGACGCGGTGCAGGGAGTCGCGGCGCGCCCAGGTAAGGCCACTGGACCAGGTGCGCTGAATGGCGGAAAACTCGTGCGGCTTGAGGTTGTAGTTGTGAATGTTGAAGATCTGCATGCTGTACTTGCCCGTGCTGTCGGTGATCGTGAGGAGCGCCGCACGGCCAGCTGCCACAGAGACGAAGCTGTAAGACGGTCGGGCTGGAGTGGCGTTCCGTGAGCTAGACCGTGGGTCGATTGGCTTCGTCGTGGGTGTCGTGGGAGGACTTCGTGAACTTGACCGGTTGGTGGTGTGACTTGTAGTCGATGAAGACGAGGAGGTACGTGCACTTGACCAGGTATCATGAGTCGGTAAGGATGCTGCAGGGGGTGCGGCGCACGCATGGGAGCCTTCCCGCGGCGCGGCACCCCTGCATCCCAGAGATTCGGCTCTGGGTCCTTCCGCCCTTGGACATTCATCGATGATGCGCGGGACGAGAAAGGCAACGCCCCCCACGGCGGCGGAGGGGCCAGGGGAGAGGAAGCTCATGTACTTCTGCGGCTGCGCCTGGAGGAAGATCCTGAGCGCGTCCTCGGAGCCGTGGACCTCTTGCACCGCGATGATGGCATTGACCTTCATGTACGATGCGAGCAGCGCCTGCTTGCGTCTGCGCAGCCTGGCATCCGAATGGAGTAGGCCACGCGCGTTCCACACGACCATGTGAAGGCCATGAAAGCCATGTCGTGCTCCAGGAGGGCGCCAGGGCGCCCACAGCGGCGTGCTAAATCCACTCGGTATTGTCCACCACGGAGAAGGCCTTCTTGAACTGCGCGTTGATGGACTCCCTGTCGATGTGCAGCCTGGCCACCATGTCTGGGTTCCACCTGATGATCGTGTCGATGTGTCGGGATTCGCCCATCTCGAGCTTGGCAACGTTGACGCCCTGGGAGGTGACGATGCCCCGTGCACGCTGCGCGCTGAAAGAGATGCCAGGATAAGCTTCTGCGAGCAAAGTCGATAGCCTCCTCGACTGGATCTCCATTCGCACTTGCTGGGGCGACTTGTCGGGCGAGATGTACAGCGGGACGGTGCCTCCTCCGACGCTCTGCGCGCAGAAAGCACGCCACCCGTTCCTGCCAGCAGGGTCTCGCAGCTGCCGAGCGAGGGCTTGGGCTCGGGGTAGAGCGACGCCGTCACCACCCTGCACAAGGACGTTGAAGCGTTTGGATGGGACAGCGGGGTCGAGGCGGACCATGTCATTGGTGAGGCCGGCAGCGCGAATCCACTCTTCGAGGCCTTGCAGCGCCTGCGCGGGGCCAACCAGCTGCGGAGCGCCGATCGAGAAGACCCTCGGGTTGGGCTGGCGGCTCCACGCCTCCAGCTCTTGGAAGTCCATGAGGGGGAGCTCCTTCTCCGCGAGGGCCAGCACCTTGTTGATGTCACCGATCTGTTTGCGCATGGCAGCCTGCTCAGCCTCCAGAGCGTCAGCTCGCTGTCCGATGGAGGCGATGTCGCGTGTCTGCACGGCGAGGGATCTGTTGACGGCCTCCTGCTGGGTCTGGAACATGCGCACCAGCTGAGTCTGGCAAGACGTGACTTGCGCCATGGAGGTGGCAGCGATCGCATCAGTGGCTTGACGAATGCAGCTCTGGAGCATGGCCTGCATGTCCGTGCTGCCCGCGTCCACAGGGGTGGCCATCCCGCCGATGGGAGTGCCAGCCGCGGGGGCCGCAGCGTGTCCGTCAGCAGGAGCAGCGCGTTCATGCCATGGATCTCCACCAGGGTGTTGCCACGGATCAGCTTGAGCATGATGGGGTCCCGCTGGAGGCTTGCCCGTGGTGGTCTGCTCCACCTGCATGTCCATCCGCTCCTGCGTGGGGAAGGTGGGCGCGGCCTCGAGGGCGGCAACGAGCTCCTCTTGCGCAGCACGGTCGAGACCATCGGGGGCATGTCGTGCACGAACACTGGCTGGGGAACCCGAGGCGTCGGCTTCGCCGTCGGAGCGAGGGTGGCCCCGCCGTGCGCGCCTCCGCGCCGGGGCGCGCTCGTTGGTGCTGCGGGAGGCGGAGCGAATGTCCTCAGGCGGGGGCTCCTTTCCTTTGTCAGTCCGCCTGCGGCCATCAGCAGCACCAGGACCACGGTGGCCGCCACCAGCGCGGCCAGCCCTGCGGCGCTCCTCCTCGGCCGCCATGAATTGCGATGGCGAGCCCTCGCGGGCACGAACCTGTGGGTCCAGGAGGACCAGTCTTTGGCGGCAGCTCGCCCTGGGGGTGGCTGCAGAGGGATCTCGACTCCTGGCCGCGGCACAGCGGTATCCATTTGGACGCCGCCGAGCGCCATGACCTTGAGCCAAAATGGCTACGGGGGAGGAGGAGGAGGAGGAGGAGGAGGAGGAGGAGGAGGAGGAGGAGGGGGAGAGGAGGAGGAGGAGGAGGAGGAGGAGGAGGAGGAGGAGGAGGAGGAGGAGGAAGAGGGATGAGGAGGAGGCCATCGGGGTATACGCCCAGAGGGCGCCCTCGGCAAGGCGCAGCCGCCGAGAGGCACCCCGAGGCTGGAATTGAAGTTGGGCGTGTCCCTCTACAGGAGGACTCTTCAAAAATAGCCAAAAAATAGTCTGGGGACGACTTGTGGTGTATGCTAACCATGTGTTTCTTTTGGGGGGGGGATTATGCTTGCACGATGGCTGATTTCTGATCCAGCACCCGCCCGTAGGAGGACACGCCCGACCCGAGGCTGGAAGCCCCCCGAGGGCGCGGGAGAGCGCCCCGTATAGGCCCCGAGCCTCTCGAGCCCCCGCGGGGCGCCGCCGAGTCCTCCTGCCGTCCAGGCTGCCCATGGCGCGCCCGTCCCTGCTCCGCAGGCACTCGCCCCGGTCCCGGATGCTGCAGCAGCCCTCGGGCTTCGGCCGCAGGCAGGCCCGCGAGAAGTCGCTGCTCGGCGTGGCGGTGAAGGCGACGGGCCTGGCCGCCAGGGTCGACGTGAGCGTGCCGCTGGTCGCCTCGCGCCGCATCTTCGGGGGGCCTCGCGCGTCGCGGCGCGCGCCAGCCTGCCGCGTCGCACCCACGTCGCGTCCGTGCTCGAGCGCGGCGCATCCGTGCCGGATCCGTGCGGGATCCACGCCGGGCTCGCGTCGACTCCATCCGTGTCGGATCCGTGTCGAATCCACGCCGGGCTCACGTCGACTCCGCGTCGAACCCGCGTCGGCGTGCGAGAGACGACTGCTGCTTGATGGGGCAGGAAAGGCCCCCCGAAGAGGCAAAAGCGAGGCGCCGTGTCGCTGCGCGTGGTCGACGTGGCGGAGCTGGCCGACGAGAGCGTGCTGCTCGTCGCCGTCTCGCTGGCCGGCGGCGCCCACTCGGGGGGGCGCGAGGGGGGCGCTGCCACCTCTCCACGCCGGGCGCGTGCGCCCGGCGACGGGCCGCGGGGCCATCAGAAAAACGAGCTGGCTCGGGAAGTGCCGCAGCAGGATGGGGTCTGGGGCTCCGGCTGCGGCTCCTCGCGACCTGCAGTTTTCGCCACGTCGGGTCTCGGGGTTACGAAGACGGCGGAACTGCGAACTGCGAACTGCGAGCTGCGACCTGCTTGGAACGCCGCGAGGGCGCTGCAGGGTGGGGCCGACGCACCCAGAAAGCGACTATACAGCACTACGGCAGAAACAAAAGCCTTCCCAGAAGGCCCCGAAGACTTCCAAGAGGGCTCATCAGAAGCCAGTCGGGCTTCAAAGGAGCCCCCCAGCCTTCTTAGAAGCCCCGCTGCCATCTTAGGAAGACACCCCTCGCGCCACGCCCTTGTGGGCGCCGCCGGGCTGGTCGACGTGGCGGAGGCGGTGGTGGCCGTCGTGGAGCCCTCCTCGCGCGGGGCCGAGGCGACGGAAGGGAACCACGACGGGATCCAGGCAGCCTCTCGGAGCGCACAAACAGGGGCAGGGCCGCACATGTAATACGAGGTCTCTGGAGTAACAGAAACCGTCGGAGCTCCGCGCGGAGCTCTGCATGTTTACACATCGGTCGGAAGAAGTAGGTAGAAACATGAAGTAGGAAGGCGGATATAGTAGATTGGGTCCAGGCCCCCCCAGAGAATAACAACATACAGCAAAAGCGTGTGGATTCTTGAAGTAGGAAGGCGCTTGAAGTAGATTGGGATCAGGGAGTCCAAAAATACCTGCTTTCAACGACCGGCGTGTATGTGCATGCTGCTGCGATGTTGTCCGCCTCTGCGGAAAGAGGGGGGCAGGGAAGGGTTGCGGGGCGGGGGGGGGCGACGAGTCCTCCTCGTCCTCCTTCTCCTCCTCCGCTCCTGCTCCTCCTCCTCCTCCTCCTCCTCGCCCTCTCCTCCTCCTCCTCGCCTCCTACCTCCTCCTCTCCTCCTCCTCCTTCCTCCTCCTCCTCATCCTCTCCTACCTCCCCCTCATCATTCTGCCGCTCCCTGCTCCTGCTCCTGCTCCTGCTCCTGCTCCTGCTCCTCCTCCTCCTCCTCCTCCTCCTCCTCCTCCTCCTCCTCCTCTTCCTCCTCCTCCTCCCTCTCCGACGACGACGGCGATGACGACGAAGACGACGACGACGTCGACGCCGACGGCGACGACGATGATGACCACGGGGGGGGGGCGACTTGAGGTCTTGCAATCGAAAATTAAAGGACTCCGTTTCAAGTATCTCGCCTTGTCAATTCGCCCAACTCGTTTTTCCTGGCGCTCCCGGGCGGCAGAGGCGTCCATGCATCAAGGGGAACGCCAGCTGCGCGCGGCAGACGTTGTGACCCCCCCTTTCCCCCCCCCCTCTAGGGGGTTGCTGAAGGTGCCCCTGGCCCAAGGTGCCCCCCAGCTGTTCGCGCAAGCTTGGAGCTCCTGGGGCCCCTCTGGGCCTCGTGGTGCTCCGAAGGCCGCGCGGGCCTCCTTGAGCATCCCAGAGGGCACCTTGGGCCAGCCAGGGGCCCTTCTGGCGCAACACCATACCCTCTGTCGTCGGACACGAGGGAGCCTGGCTGTTCGGCACGCGGGCCACAACGAAGGGGGCCTGGGACACACAAATAGATACACACATAAAAGGATCCTCCATATCTTATCATAGTTTCTGGGTTTTCGTCTTCCCCCCCACTTCCCATAGTTTCCCAGATTCTCCTGGGAGTCGACGATTAATTGTGTCCGTGTGTTTTTTCCCCTCCTGACGCAGCTCGGGTCTCAGGCGGCCGTTCGAGACAGAAGGGAGCCCAGCCAGGGCTGGGAAGCCTGGGAGGGCTGGCCCCCGCAACGTCTTCCAGCTTCCCAGCGCGGTCAGGGCACTGGATAAGGGACCCTTAGATAAGGAATCCAGGGTCTGGAAGCTGGTGGAACACTGGCCATCGCTCGGACGTCCATTTCCTGTGACTTTTTTCGGTTTCGTGCGTGGCTTTTTCGCCAAATGATCAAGGACGCTCCTCGATGGCCCTCGCCGAAGGAAGAATGCACACGTCCGAGCGATGCCAAGACAAGGGGCCCTCAGAGAAGGAACCCAGGGTCTGGAAGCTGGCGGAACACCAACTGAGGCCTGGCCATGGCTATCACCGCCGCCCTCGTCAGATGAGGAACCCTCCTGGGTCCGAAGCCTCCTGGGCGCATTCCTTCACATGCCTTCATGGACGCCGCCGCCGTGACCTACCCTCCCCCCGAGGGCCTCCAGGGCGGAGCCGTCGCCGCCGGCGATGCCGCTCGCCAGCAGGTGCGGGGGCCTCTGCGGGAGGCAGAACCGTCCCAGCACGAGAGGCGGGCGTCGGAGCTCCGGGCGAAGAGCTGGCAGCAGAGGCAGGGAGCAGACCCAGCTGAGTACGGCCTGCACCCGTGCAAATCTCGAGGACCTCTCGCATCGGTGCCGGGGCCCTCCCCGCCCCCCCCCCTTCTATCGCCCCGCCGCGCGGGGCGCGCAAAGGGGGCGGCGCCGTGGGGCGCCGGCCAGAGGGGGGGGGCGCCCCGGCGCCGATGCCAGAGAGCCGCGCGGAGCTCCGAGAGTTCACGGCAGACGCGTAGGATAGGAAAGCCCGCTCGGAGAAATCTGGGGGCACGTCCTTCGTCGACGCTGAGCTCCGCATGGGGCGCACAAAGACACACATAGTGCTACATGTCCTCCCTGGAGGCGCGCGCCCGAGCCGAGCACATCGTATATACCCGTCTTGTAGTACATCGTTCCCCGAGCGGTGTGGCCCGAAAGCGCCCGCCACGACGCATGCATGTACTATAAGATTTCTCGGTGCCCACGTCGCCCCTGGGGGGGAGACGCACACGTAAGGAGGAGGAGGAGGAGGAGGAGGAGGAGGAGGAGGAGGAGGAGGAGGAGGAGGAGGAGGAGGAGGAGGAGGAGGGGGAGGAGGGGGAGGGAGGAGGAGGAGGAAAGGTGTCCCAGGGCCCTGCGGCTCCACCTGGAGACGTGGGACCAGCGCTGGTCACCCGTCGTCAGTCCATCTTCCAGTGTTGCGCGCATGCAGTCGGACCTAGGCCAGAAGAACATCCCTCAAGAACATGAGGCCCTCGGCCAAAAGACACAGAGCATCCAAGGGTACCCTCCCAAGGACGCACAAACCCATCCAGCAAACACGAAGAACACGAGGGTACCCTCCTCGAACCGGCCTCGATCTTTTATCTCGGTCCGACTATACTCTGTTCTTCCATCTCATGAACCAGGGACGCTGCCGCTGGCGCTCTCAATAGGTCACAGGGGGCCCCCGGTGGACATTCGAAACTACAGCGAATATTTCGCCTTGAGAAGAACAAGCGAACTGCATACACGCAGACTTTCAACAACCCTCGCAATTTCTTGGATCTGCGCTGGGCACCCCCTCCCTGCCGCGCGGAGCGCGCAAGGGGTGGCGCCAGAGACGCCGCCAGGGGGGCCCCAGCGCAGATCGTAGAAATCCGCTCGGGCTGTCGAAGATGTATGCTTATGCTGCTTTGTGCTCTTCGAATACTTTGGTGTGCCTGCTGTGTGCCGCTCTGGACGCCCGCAACGGGTACAGACAAAACCAAAATGTTATCCAAAAGTTATCCAAAGTTATCCAAAATGTTATCCAAAATGTTATCCAACATGTTATCCATAGTTATCCAACATTTTATCCAAAACCAATGGGCAAGATGCCGAAAAGTAAATGTTATCCAAAACCGGTAGCGGCCACTGATGGGCAAGCGGCCTTCCGTTTCAAATGGGCAACGCCAGCTGCGAAACCGACAGCGAGTCCTGTCCGAAATGATCCGGAAATTCTGCTGGTCTTCGCTGAATGGCGACATCCAAACCCTACCCCCACCAACCATCAATTCCCCTGAATCGATGGGAGGCGGGGGTAAGGTTTGGATGTTGCCACGTGTCCAGCGAATTCCGAACCCTGCCCCCGCCGCGTATCGAGTTGCCTGAATCGTTGATCGAACGGGGTTCGGATTTGGGGGAAACCAGCAGGTACCGATACGGCTACACCCCGGACCTCTCCCGGGGCGCCTTCTTTCGAGGCGAATCCAGCGGTGCCGACGAGGGCCTCCCAGGAGGCCGAGAAAGGGGAAAAAGCAGGGTAACGTTAGGTCGGGCCTGTCGCCCTACGGTGGGATTTTGGAGGAAAAATTAAACCCAGTCAAACATAGACTCCAAACAGATCTAAACATACTCAGAAGATCGCTCCCAGACTATTGTTGGTCTATGCTTGCATACTTCTCCTGTAGAGGGACAGGCCCGACCTAGGGGTAAGGGCCGCGGCAGCGGCGCCGCATCCTCCTATGTGAAGCACTGTGCCGCCGACCTGTGCCCGCCCTCTCCCCCCCCTCGGCCCGTGGCCGACCGACTCTGGCGGCGCGCAGGCGCACAGTGTGGGAACTCTGGGCCGGTTGGGCGTACCTTCTGAGAGATTGACAATTCTATCTTGGGTCCCTTCTGCAACTTTTGTCCTGGCGAACAAACGGTTGGGCTGGGAACTTTGGGTCGGTTGGGCGAACATTCTTAAAACGACGCGAAGATCGGGACAAACTCGGATCGGGATAACTCGAAATCTCTGAGAGTCGGCGGGTTTGGAGGATGCATTGGGCGCCGCGGCCGCTCCAGAGCGTTCCGGAACGCTCTGAGAGCGCTCTGGAACGCTCTGGAGCGATTTATCCCGATCCTAGCCCTGTTTTATGTCTGTTGAGAACCAGTATGTTTCGCACCTGTAGTGGGTCATGCCGCGTCTGCCTGTCAAATTCTCAGGTCCGCAGCCGCAGCACTACTATCAAAACACTTGGCGGAACCGACCGGGGGTAGGGTCAGGCCGGGCATGTCCTCCTACAGGGCGATTTTGGATAACAAATATATGAAATATGCCAGAAATGCCCCACAATAATCCAAATGCAAAAACAAATGGTTCCCAGACTACTTGTTGGCTATTTTTGAAGATTCCTTCTTGAGAGGGACAGGCCCGACGTAAGGGTAGGGGGAGGGGGAAAGGCTTTCCACAAGAAGGCTGCTCCTTAGAAGGCGCGCCGGCCTCATATCCATAGCGATCAGGCCCGCGCCTTCTGAGAAGCAGGGGCGCTGCATCGCCGACGCATCGCCGATGCATCCGCGATGCGGCGCGATCCTCCGACCCCATCTACTCGACCCCATCTAGGAGGCATAGAGTAAATGCCCAGGGCCACTTCGTGAACGCCAGTTGTCTGGCCTGCGTGGCTTCCCCTCCCTTGGCCTCAGCCCCCCCCCGCCCTCTGCGCGTGCCCCACCGGGAGTAGCGTCAGCCCGGGCATGTCCTCCTACAGGGGGACTTGGGATCACAGATATAAACAAATATGCAAGAGAAATGGCCCAAAATAATCAAAATGCAAAACAAATGTGGTTCCCGGACTACAAAAGCCAAAGTAGGGCGGATCTGGAGTCGGGCCTGTCCTCCCTTGGCCTCAGCCCCCCCCCTCTGCGCGTGGCCCACCCCTGCCCGTGGCCGGCCCGTGCCGGTCGCAGAACGCGCCGCGCCCTTCGCCCTCCGAGCCTCGGCCCGCAGACCTCTGCGCAGGGGCCGGCCGTCCCGGCATCCCCATAGCCCTACCGCGAAGCGTTCCTAGAACCCAAAAAATGTTCTAAGAACAAAAGCCATGCTCTCAGAACCCAAAAACGTTCTAAGAACAACATGTTCTAATAATACAATGTTCTAGAACAATGTTCTGAGAACCCAAACATGTCCTAAGAACAACATGTTCCAATAACAACATGTTCTAGAACAATGTTCCTAGACCCTAGACCCCAAACATGCTCTAAGAACCAAGACACTGATCCTAGAACATCAGCCCGACGTGTCAAGCCAGGACAGGCTCCGCCAGAACTGTTCCAGAAGCGCTTCGTGGGAGCCACAAAAGGTTCCTACAGAACATGTCGGGAGCGGCCAAGAGGGGGGTGTCCAAGAGGGGGGGGGGGGGGGGGGGGGGCAAATCATGACCGGCGGCATGTGCGCGGCCCAGCGGGGGGGCCAGGGACGCAATGAAACAAGAAGAGGCGCCAGGAAATCTGGGGAAATCTCATGGCCCCCGCCATGATATCCACCCCCCCCTAGTCATCACCCCCCTCTTTGCCGCCCCCGAGCTTGGTGGGGCTATGTAGGCGAGCCGGGACGCTTCGCCGCTGCTTGAGACCTGGTGCCCGGCGCGGTCCCCCGGCCGCGCCGCGCCGCCGGCGGGCCGCGGCTCCGCCTCCCGCCCGCGCGCGCCCGCCGGCACGTAGCAGCCCCGCGGCCTGCTGGGAGGCTTGCGGGGGAACGGCTATCGTTGACCCACGGCGCCTGGCAGGGGAGTACACCCCGCCCTCTCTACAAGAAGGGGCTCTGCGCATTTGGCGCGATTCCGACGAGGCTTCTCGTAGTGGCCTCCGGCCAGTGCCGCCGATCTGGAGCGCTCCCGATGGTGCTCGGGTTCGCTTGGAGGCATTGAAAAAGGCAAGACTGAGGCTTTGCGCAGATTTCGGCCCCTCCCTGGCTCCAGATCCGCCCCACTTTGGCTCCTTTTCCAACTTGCAATTGCGTCGGACATCCACCAAGAAGAGGCCGAAAAAGTGTGGCGGAAATTTCTGCAACCAACATAAAATAGGGCGGGAATCCACGGAAGTAGGGCGGAAACAGCAACAGAAACATAGGGCGGAAATTGGTATCAGCGGGGCTTGAAAAGGAAGGCGGAAATTCCAAGCCCTACCTACGAAATTCCACAAAGTAGGGCGGATCCGGAGTCAGGGCTAGGGGCCCTCGCTGGGCCTCGGGGCCGTCAAAAAACGACTCGGGATGAGAAACTGGTCCTGGGGAATGGGTCGAGACTTCTCTGGACCCCGTAAGGAAAAAATCACGACATCGGATCTTTGGAAAGGCACCTTTCGATTACAGTATTCGGCCTGACCTAAGGAACGATAAATAAGGAACGAAGCCCCTTCTCTTCCAAGTAGGTCTACGACGTCCGAAAGAGGACCAGGGGGCCTCGCCGCCAAAAAGGTGGCGGAACGCATGCAAACACAAGGAACGACCGAACCCGTTTTGAAAAGCATGTGTTCCTTATTCAAGCCGGATCCTGTAGGGGATCGACTGCAGAATCGATTCATCATACAACTTTTTGATCGTCGAATCTCCCAGAAGGGCGTGGCGTGTTCGGAGATTCGAACCCCAGCCTACGTATGTTTCGTGGCATCGCAGACGAAATAAATTTCATGAGAGAAAAAACTCACGTCTGAAATTGTTCGTCGTTTTCGGCCTCTCGAGGCCCTCGACGGACCTGGGGACTAAAACGTCTCGGCATGAGAAGCCGGCCCTGGGGAAAGGGTCGGGACTTCGGGAAAGGGTCTGGGGACTTCTTGGAAGCCTTGGCCACGCGCATAAACTGAGACGAAACCAGGACGAGGAGAACGTCGGATGAGGATAAATCGAGGATCTCTGAGATCCGGCGGCTCTGGAGGATGTCTCGGGCGCTGCGGCCTTCTCAGAGCATGCTGGAACGCTCTGGATCGTTCTGGAACGCTTTGTAGGAGAAAGAACATGCGGTCACGCGCAGAATGGGGGGGAGGGGGAGGTGTGAACGGCTGGAGGCTGCTTCCGAGAAGGCCCCGGCATCACATCTGCCGACAAGGCCCGCGCCTTTTCAAGAAGCAGCACCCTTCTGAGAAGCCTCCCCCCCTCCCCCCACCCCCCTCTGCGCGTGGCCGAGATATCGGCACGAGCTGAAGCCCACACCTCCAATGATGGGCTTGCTTCCCACCACCACCACCACAAGTTGGAGGGGGGAGGGGGTGTCCTCTCCTTCCTCCCCCACCCTGCCCTCCTCCTCCTCCCCCTGCCCTCTCCTCCCCCCTCCTCCTCCTCCTCTCCTCCTCCTCCTCCTCCTCCTCCTCCTCCTCCTCCTCATCCTCCCCTCCTCCTTCCTCTCCTCCTTCACCCCCTCCAACTATGGTTGGGGTGTTGGTGGAAAACAAGCCCACACCTCCAACACGCGGGAACAGAAGGCAAGCGCGTGCTGCTGTCCGTCGCCTCCTGGCGCCCGGTGGCCCTCGCGCGGGGCCCCGCGCCGCCGACGAAGCAAGCAAACTCGGGATGAGAAGCGGGTCTCGTGGAAGAGGTCCAGAGCCCCAGATCCTCCTCCTCCTCCTCCTCCTTACTCAACCAGCCTCGCCGACTCCCCCCCGCATACAGGAGCAGTTTTAATACGTAGCACCCCGCATTTGCGGATAAGAGTGAGGGGGCGGGCGCGGGCGACGCGGGCGTCGTCGAGCCGGCGGACCTCGTGGCCCCCACCTTCCTTGTCGATGGCGCTCTCCTCCTCCTCCTCCTCCTCCTCCTCCTCCTCCTCCTCCTCCTCCTCATCCTCGTCCTCGTCCTTGTCCTCATCGTCATCGTCATCCTCCTCCTCCACCTCGTCCTCCTCCTCCTCCTCCTCTTCTTCCTCGTCCTCCCTCTCCCCCCCTCGTCCTTTCATCATCGTCCTCCCATTGTCGTCCTCCCCCTCATCGGCCTCCATCATCGTCCTGCCATTGTCGCCCATCATCATCATCATCATCATCATCATCATCATCATCATCATCATCATCATCATCATCATCATCATCATCATCATCATCAGCAATCACTTTTCCCCATCATCATCATCATTCAATCCTATATCATCACCAACCACCACACCACCACCACCAACCACCACCACACCACACCACCACCACCACCACCACCCCACCACCACCCCAACCACCATCATCATCATCATCATAATCACCATCATCATCATCATCCATCATCATCATCATCATCATCATCATCATCATCATCATCATCATCATCATCATCATAATATCACATTCATCTCATCATCATACATTCATCACACACTCACATATCACATCACATCATCATATATCATCATCATCATCATCATCATCATCATCATCATCATCATCATCATCATCATCCCCCTCCTCCCCCTCCTCGTCCTCCTCCTCCCCCTCCTCCCCCTCCTCGTCCTCCTGTTCCTCCTCCTTTTCTTTCTCCACATTATCCTTACATCCTCTCTTCTTTCGCGTTCTCCTCGTCCCCTGTTTACTCCTCATGCCTCCCCCTCCTTTCCCAAGATAACTGCAACGCAATCCTTTTTTCCACGTTATGATCCCCGCCTTCTTTGATTAAGGCAACTCGCCAGGGCAGAGTTGCTGGACGGGCTGGTGTGGATGCGCGGGGCTTGAAGAGGTCCTTGCGGGCTCAGGCGGCATGCAAAAATCCGCCGCCGCGCTTGTGCGGCATTGGTTTGTTCAGTGCACGTGGTTTAGGTCGCGGGTGGGTCGCGGGCTCTCCACCTCCACCTGGAAGGAATGCAAAGGCAGCCCGCCGCAGGCGCCAAAAAAATTGGTTTGTGCACTGAACGTGGTTTGGGTCGCGGGTGGGCCGCGGGTTCTCCACCGGGAACGAATGCAAAAGATGCCCGCCGCAGGCGCCGAAAAATGTGGTTTGTACCCTGAACGTGGTCGCGGGTGGGCCGCGGGTTCTCCACCTGAAACGAATGCAAAAGATGCCCGCCGCAGGCGCCGAAAAATGTGGTTGTACCCTGAACGTGGTTTGGGTCGCGGGTTGGTCGCGAGTTGGTCACGGGGTGGGTCGCGGGCTCTCAACCTGGAAGGAATGCAAAAAAAGCCCGCCGCAGGCGCCGAAAATTGTGGTTTGTACCTTGAACGTGGTTTGGGTCGCGGGTGGGTCGCGGGTGGGTCGCGGGGTATGTCGCGGGTGGGTCGCGGGGTGGGTCGCGGGGTGGATCGCGGGTGGGTCGCGGGTGGGTCGCGAGTGGGTCGCGGGGTGGGTCGCGGGGTGGGTCGCGGGTGGGTCGCGGGGCGGTCTGCGGGTGGTGCGACGACAACAAACAACAACAACAACAACAACAACAACATCAACAACAACAACAACAACAACAACAACAATCATTTTACCCGAACGCTCAGTGTTCTCCCCAGTGCCAGGGTTTTCATGCGACGCCAGCCAATACCCCCACTTCGTGGGGGGGCAATGCAAGCTCTACCAAACATCCACACAACTCTCGGGAACCACCCACACCCAGCTTCCCGCCCTATGACGTCAGGACACTTCACTTCGTGGCGCGCGGACGATCGTGGATACTACACTGGCGTGGAGTACACACCCGCAGAGGTTGATCACTTGTTTGGGCCCCGCATGTGCCCCGCATCGTGCATTCGTGCATCGTGCATTGAGAACGGACAGCGCGCGCGGGTGGAAATTTTGAAAAGTCGTGCAGGTGTTTTTCGAGGACCTACGGTGCGATTCGTGTGATTTTATGATGCGCGGTGGTAGAATTCTTAAGAACCCAATGGTTTTTGGAGATTTCGGCGTGCGCGCGCGAAGAAAAAACTAATCTGTCCCGCATGGTATTATTTGACAGGGATGATGGCCCTGGCAGGTGCGCAACCGTTGTCGCAGAAGTTCGAAAAAAGTTGCTCGCAAAAGCCCGTTTGACAGAAATGTTGAAAAAGAGTTGGGTTTCCTACGAATCCGCAAGAGCGCGCGGGATGAGATTTTGACATTTTTGTGTTGAAAAACCATTGGTTTTTGATGTTTTTATGTTAAAATCGTTCCGAACACTAAGCTTTTGGAAGGATTTCGTCTTGCGCGCACGAATGTCCACTTTACCTTATTTTTTGCAAGGGATTCTTGCAATTTGATCAAGTAAAAACAAGAATTTTCATTTTCTATTGTTTTTTTGCAAGGGAAAACGAGCGTCAACAAAAAACCGGATCCGGACACAATCCACTTTTCTGAAGCTTTCGCGAAAAATGATGAAAATGTAGCTGCGGCCTAGGCGCGGCG